GGCTCCCAAGAGCCCGATGCGGGACTCGATCCCAGGACCCTGGGATCATGACCTGAGCCGAAGGCAGACGCTTAACCATCTGAGCCACCCAGGCGCCCCCCTCATGATATCTTTAAGCATAGACAGTATCCCCATTTTTCAGGTAGGAAAACCAGGCTCAGAGAGGCTGAGTATCTCGCCTGAGATCACCCAGCGAGCCCCCAGTGAGATTCTACCGCAGCTGGTTCCCTTTGCCCACCATGGCCTCCCGAGATGCCACTGCACCTGAATCTCCAGGTCCCCTCCCTGCCATGGATGGACCCTGTTTGGGGCAGTGGGGGGGGGGGTCTCCACTCTGATCCCAGAGGACTAGGTCTTCTTAAAGAGCCTCTCACTGAAGGCGAGGCCGAGACCCCCACCAGGCATAATTGCCGGAGAGTCTTGCTTCCTCCCTTTTGGTATACAGGAATCCCAAATACGGTGAGGTACTTTTAAAACCCAACCACATAATTTTTTGATCCTCTCGTCTTCCGATGGCCTTCAGCAGCCGCTGCCGGCATCCTGAGTCCAACCTCATGAGAGAGAGATCCTGAGCCAGAAGCACCCAGCTAAGCTGCTCCTGAATTCCGGACCCACGCAAACTATAATGCGTAAACGCTCACTGCTTTGAGCCAAGTCCTGGGGCAGTTTGCTACACAGCAATACCCGTTATATTCTGGTTTTACTCACACGTCCCTTGTGCGGGGCCGTCCCTCCTTTGTCCCACGAAGACCCGGTGGACGCATTTCCATTTCAGGACACACCACCCCCGGCCCCGGACCCCCCACTCTGGTTGGGGTGCTGCTGTGGGCACCGCCTACCTGACTTGTCATGGACGATGGAGAAGAGGATGCGCTTCGAGGCGTGGACGTTCTGGATGAGAGGGCCACCGGGCCCGGGGGGCTTCTGTCCTGGACAAGGGGGAGGAAAGGGACAGGTTCAAGGTGGGCCCCCAGATCTGGCCTGGGTGCAGAGATGCTGGCTCTGGGGTAACAGTCTCATCCACCAAGGAGACCCCCGAACTCAGCCCTAGGGTCGTAAACTCAAGGCAAGTTCCCTGCCCAGAGGCCTAAGACATTCTTCGGCAGAGTCTGCTCTCCAAACGGCAGGTCAGGGAGGCCAGGATGACGATGTCTGAGGACAGGTGGAGACCCCTATTTAGGGGTCTAAGTCCCACTCCGCTGCTCAGCCCAACATTTGATGGTAAAGGCGGGGGAGGGAGGTCCCTTTTGCTCCTTCTCCTAACAGTAAGTACAACTTATAAGCACCTACTATGTACCAAGCACTGGACTCTGCTTTAACACAGCAGCTCTCAAGCCTGAACACCCAGCGGAGCCACCTGGCAGATTTAAATACACAGACAGCTGGGCCCCCAGCCGCCCCCTAAGCTTGAGAGTCAGCAGGCCGGCGGCAGGGCCTGAGAATGTGCATTTCTAACTTGCCCTGTCATTTGACCACGGTAATAACCTCGTGAGAGGTCCTACTGGCATCCGACTTTAAAGCTGAGGAAACTGAGGCTCAGGGAGGTAGAGATTTGCTGTGGGACACATAGCCTAGTGGAGGAGCCAGGACAGGAACATAAGTCTTTCTCACACGCAGCTGTCCCTTCCCCTATGCTTTCGGTACCCCTAGTCCAGGCTGAGTATGTCGTCAGTGCTCATTAAATGCCTGTGACTGACTGGCCTGTTTACTCCCTCCACAGACTCCGCTATGGGGTGCCCTCAAACATCTCTCTGTCCCAGCCCCTTGGCCCGACATGCCTCCTTCAGCCTGGGGTGGGCCTGAGCACCCCCATCTGCTCAGGGAGGGTGCCCCCCAGGAGTGATCATTGTCCCACCCCCGGACTCAGGGGTCCCAGCAGCACCTTACCACAGCACTCGGAGAAGTCTTGGGCCCCAGAGGCCTTGGGCTCAGGCCCAGGCCGGCCAAGGCCCAGGTCGCTGGGGGCAAGTGGGCAGGCGGGCGCCTCCTGCTTGAGCTCTCTCGTGGTGTGGTTAGGGAGCGCGGTGCTGTACAGGAAGCTGGCCACAGCGGACGAGGTGCCAGTGGGGGGTAGGTCCTGGGGTGGCCCCTTGGGGGCCTGGCCGTGCAGGCCGCAGTCCCGAGACCCCTTGGCTATCAGGGAGACACCATTCAGCTCCACTAGGGCCTTCGAGTCCCGCCCGCCATCCTCAAGCGGCCTGGGTGAACGAGAGGACAAGTGACAGCTTTATACACCTGGCCCGCCAGGCCCCAGCCTGCCTTCTGCACAACATGACGGCCTGTGAGGTACACGGGCCAGGAGCCGGTCCCCATTTTACAGCTGGGGGTGCAGGCCCGGGGAGGGGTTGCGATGTGCCCAGGGCCACACGGCTGGGCCACTAGAGGAGCTGGGCCCTGCCCCTCGGCCCCCCCCCGTGCCCCCCACACCCCCATCACGTGCTCAGATCATGCTCTATGCCTGGGCGTCTGCCTCACTTCCACTGCCAGACTGGGAGCTTTTACAACCGGGGTCCCCCGCAGGCTTCTGAAGTCCCTTCCCCGTGACTGGGTGAGTGGCCCCAGGTGGCTGAGCAAGCATGGGAGCAGGTCACCCTCCCTGGCCCGTCCTGGCCTGACCCTCATGGTCCAGCCACCCTCCCTGGGCCCGCTCCCAGGCTGACTGCCTCACTCACCTCTTGAGCTTGAAGCGGATCCGGTGGCTGTGCTCCAGGATGGCCATGAGGGCCTTGGGGTCATAGTCGGCCGGCCTCCGGAAGGCCAGGCCCTCGGGCAGCCCCTGCACGGCCAGCAGCCCCGGCTCCCTGAGCAGCCTCTCGTAGGGCAGGGGCACCACGCTGGCCCTTCCCAGGGCCTCGCCTGTGGGGGAGGGGGTCGAGGAGAGGGTCTAGTATGAGAGGGCAGCCAGGCTGGGCCGGGGGCCGGCCTTGCCCCAGAGCTGGGGCCACACTGAGTCACTCCCTGTGGTGCCGGGTTCCCGGGAAACTGGACCCCACGGGCCCCTTCCCTGCTAACATCCCACAGAACAAGGCCCTGCAGGCTGAGCGGGGCGGGCGAGCACTGGGGGTGGGCCCCTCTGTGTGCACCTGAGGGCCGGGGCTCCCCCACGGCCGGGGTTTCCAGCTTCTCTCGCCATTCTCTCCTCTCTGGGCACCCGGGTGGAGGGGAGAGCAGGGCGCGGGGCTGTGGGCAGGAGCTCAGGAGGAGCCACGGGGGAGAGAGAAAGGAGGGCGGCAGAGGGGCCACAGGGCGGAAGGGAGGAGAGGGAGGGAAGAGGAAATGGGAAGAGCAGATTCAGAAAAAAGACAGGAATCAGACAGACAGAAGGTGGTGGGGATGAGGAAGGGGTGAGTGGAGGGGAGACTGACTGGGGACTGACGGGGTGGGATGGCCGAGGGGCCTGGGCTCAGGAACGCCTGTTGTCACTCCCACACTGCAGCCCCTCCCGGAGCCATAAAGAGGCGGCTCACCTCAGATGCCGCCCAAGGTGGGCAAGGGCAGGGCAGAGTGGGCAGGGGTGCGGGGGAGGGGGCTGAGGGCATGAACCCTGTACCTGGCAAAGCCAACCACAGGTGACAAGTCCTCCCATCCCAGGTGACCAGTGTGCCCACCCCGGGCCTCTGGGCATCCCACCCCACCTAGGCCTCCCCCTCCTCCTGACAGCAGGAGGTTCCTCAGACCTTTGCTCCACAGAACCAAAGGCTACAGTACAGAAAGCAAGAAAGCCAGAGCTGGGACCCTTAGGGACCATAGGGACCTGCCCAAGGTCACCTGGAGACCGCGACGGCTACCACTGGGCCAGAGATTCTGCAACTGGCCCCTTGTGAGGGAGGCCAGGCCTGCCCACCTCCCCCACCCCTCAGCAGAAGACTTGGCTAACTAGCGAAGTTAGCTCTCACTCAGTCATTCAACAAACACCCTGCCGATGTTGGCCACTGTCGCTGGGGATGGTGCAAGGCGCAGGCACAGACCCCGGCCCCAGAGAGCACTGGGCTAGTGAGGGGTCAGAGCACAGTGGGTGCCCCAGGGGGGCACTGAGCCAGTAGCGGGGGCTTCCCAGAGCTGAGCCTTAGAGAATAATGCAGTGTCCGCCGGACAGAGGGGAAGGCAGTCGTGAAAGGCACAGCGGTGCAGAGGCGAGGTGTGAAATGGAGCCAGAGTGGGCCGGAGAACAGGAAGCGGTTTCGTGAGGCAAGGCAGCATGGCTGGAGGGTGGCAGGGACCGGCCACGGTGGGGAGGGTGACGGGGCGCCCCCGAGGCCGTGGAAAGAAGAGCTTTCTGGTCAGACTTGTGCTTTAGGAAGATGCCCTTGGTCACAGGACAGGTGGGGGCAACAGGGAGCCGGCCTGGAGGCGAGGAGACCAGGGCCAGCCCAGGGCCATTTCCAGGCAAGGTGGCAGCGACCAGGGCCAGGGCGGGCCCGGGGCAGTGTGGACGGTGGTTCAGGAAACGGGGCTGGGGCGGAAGAGCCATGCCTGGGGATGCAAGATGAGGGAGGGGCCGCCTCAGCAGGGTGGGGACGGGGGCTCCCACCCGCCTGGGGGCCCCAAATGGAATGAGGAAGGATCTTACTATAAAGAACATCAAACACCTCCTCTACCATCTTCCGTAGAAGGTACACGTCCGAGCCATGCTCCAGGGAAGACCGAGGGATGTTCCGGCCGCCACCCTCGCCCCGCGACACCTTCTTGGGATGCTCTGTCTCTGGCTCCTTCCAGGGGGCCCCTCCTGTGGGACACAGAGCATGCCGGGCCAGGATGAGCACCTGTCTCACCCCTGCCCAGTGAGCTGAGATGTCCCTGCCCCGTGCTGAACCCTGCAGCGGGGCACTCAACATGGAGTAGAAAAGGAAGGAAGGAAGGAATGAAGGAATGAAGGAATGAATGACGAGTGAGCAAGCCCTGTCCCAACCCCCTGCCCAGGGCCAAGGCTGGTCATCTCTGAGTTCCCAGTGCCTCACACAGGGCTTGGGTCTCATCCTGGTCACCTCTAACTCACTGTGCGACCTTGGGCAAGTCCCTTCCCTCTCTGGGCCTCAGTCTGTGAGCTCTCACAGAAGACCAGCTGGCCTGGCTCAGAACTGGGGTTCAACCAATGTCTGTTCCGTGCATCCCCTTCTGTGCTCCAACCCTAACGCTGTCTTAAACAGTCGAGGCCCCAGTTTTCCGCTCTGCCCCATGAGGAGACAATGGGAACCCCGGCAGGAGGCCAAGGGGCTGCAAAGAGGCAAGTTCATGCCAGGCTGGGTCAGGGTGGGGCCCTGGGAGTGTCAGTGGACCCCTGGATAGGGAGATGCTAGACACTGCACTGGAAAGGGGATGAGGGGAGGGCCCGGAGGCCACCTCGCAGCTGGGAGCCTGCTCCTCTCCAGGGATCTGCGGAGCTTGAAATAAACCAGCCCAGCGCCCGGTGCTATAAATAGTCACTGTGCCGGGCTCGGGAAGCCAGGTGCACCTTCCGCAGGCCCAGCCTGGCCAGCCTGGGGCCACAGGAGCCGGCCACTGTCTATTCTACCCTGGGCCAGCCCCCACCCAACCTCGGAGAGCGGACAGGCTCGGAGAGCTGGGTGGGGGCGGGGGCGGCTGGGGAAGCAGCTGGACCCCAGTGATGACATGCCCAGTGCCGGGGGCCAGCCTTCCCCGAAATGGCTGATGGAGGTTCCAGACCCCGGGTGTAACGCAGACGTTAATAATGGCCAGGACAACGGCTAGCACTTACTGTGTGTGAACCCAGTGTCAGGCACTGTTCTCGCCTGTATTAGATCGACTTAATCCTCAGACCGACCCGCAAGGAGGGCAGCGCTGTCCTCCCTTTTCATAGACAAGGAGGTTGAGGCCCAGCAGCCGGCAGGTGGCAGAGCCGGGACGGAGCCCCAGACGCCTGCCTTCAGGGCCTGCTCTTAACCCTAAGAGCTCAGAGTCCCAAATCGTGGGCTCGAGCGGCCGCTCAGGGGCTGGCCTTCAGCGCTGGGGCCAGGCCCTAACCTTGTAGGGCCTAATCCACCACAAAGGTGAAGATGATGAGCTTACCAGGAGCACGGATGTAAATTTAGGGCATGAGAAGCCGGCACAGTGTGGGGAGTAACCACAGGGGTTGGGGCGGTGGGGCGGGGGAGGGTTGGCGACTAGGGGTGCGGGGCACAGACAGGGGCCCGGGCAGGCGGGAGGAACGTGGACGCGGAGGCTGGGGAGGCGTCTGCCGGCAGAGGAGAGGAGGGAGGGCCTCCCACGTGGGGGGGCAGCAGGGACAAAGGCAGAGGGGAGCATGCACACAGAGCCGGTGAGCTAGCACTCAGCCCAGTACCGCCGGTAGTGAGGGGTGCCGGGAGGGGCGACGCAGAGGCAGGGGCTGGGTTATGAGGGTCTAAAGGCCCCAGCAGTAGTGTTGAGGAGTTGGGGGCTTCAGAATGACCCCCCTGCTTCAGGGCTCCCCGGCTCACAGCTCCGAGTGCTGTTCTCTTTTGCAAGTGACCAGGAACCCCTGGCAGGGCTCCCGGGGGGAGGGGTGGGGGGGGAGTGTCCTGCTACACCTCCCCGATTCTGAAGGGGTGCAGCACAAAGAGCACGGGTTTCAGAACAGAAACCTGGCCTCCGTCACTTGGCGGCTCTGTCTCCCGGGGCAAGTGGCTTCTGCTCACCATGCCTCAGTTTCTCCCTTGTAAACCGGGAGCGGTTTCCTGAGCCTGCTGGGGAAAGTGAACAGAGCACGTGGCCTGGCTCAAAGCACTACTGATCGCAACACGACTAACCGCTCGCGATATCAAGCATTTCCTTCGTGCGGCAGGTGTCCTCAGTCACTTCGTCCCCAAGAGCCACCACGAGGTGGCTCCAGATCGTTACTATAGCAACGACGGTGCCTACCTCACTGGGTTGACGTCGGGATAACTGAGTTACATGGCGAAGGGTGCTGCACACAGCAGGTGCTCAATAAGCATTAGCTGAACGAGGGCACTGGGTCCCTGTGTGTCAGAGGTAACACCGGGCCTCAGTGTCCCCTTCTTCCAACGAGCACGCAGACGTGGCTGGGTCTGGCCCGGCCCAGGGTGGAGTCAGCTAGTCTCTATGGACCGAGGGGCTGCTGGAGACTTCACGCCCCGGTGACGCCACACTGGGAAGCCCGCACAGCCCCCGACACAAGGCCCCCTGGAATTGCTCTGGGGACCCTCAGGGACCACAGGCCCCACCCACTGGAGCCCTGGGGTACTCACGGCAGAACCTGAGGAAATCTGACTGCAGCTCGTTCCGTGCGTTCAGGAACATTCTCCCCTTCTCGGTGCCCACCACGAAGGCACTCTCATCATGGACAGCAACACAGGCCACCTCTGCGTTCAGCTTGGAGAGCGCCGAGCACTGCAGGGGGAGTGGGGTATGTGAGCCTGGAGGAGGTCCCCCAGCTCGGGGACACCTCCAGTGACAGCTCTGGGGGTGGGACGAAGCTCCCAGCTGCCTAAGATCCTACCAGCAGCTCCAGGGAGAGGTCACCCCTCCATAGTTCTCAGTCGGAGTCTGCAGGAGGAAGGAGTGAATGACACCCCCACCCCCCAAGCTTGGCCAAGGTCAAGGGAGAAGACAGGTCATGGAGCCCCCAGAAGAACAAAGACACAGGGCCCCTGCCCTTCCCTCCTCCCAGGTCCTCCTGGCTCTAGAGGGGTTCCTGCCTGAGGCTTGGCCCCAGCGCCAGGGACAATCCTGTCTGGTTTTCTTAAAGTCCTAAATGAGAGGAGGAGGTTGGGCGGGGGAGGCGCCCAGGAGAATCAAGGCTTGAGCAGATCCAGGTTTCAATCCCACATCAGCCACTTCCTGCTGTGGGACTGATGCACGTCATTCCCCTCTCTGGGCCTGATCTGCAGAATGGGGACAGGCAGCCCAGCTCCCAGGCTTTCAACGGGCTTGGTTGTGGGGATTCAGCGAGGCCTGGCAGGCAGGAAGGAATCTCTAAACCGTGGCATCTCCTGTGGGTCCATAAACAGAAGTCATTTTTGTAGCCCCAGAGTTGAGGGGTTGGCAGGCCCCCTGCACGGGAAGCCCTAACACAGGGGCCCTGCAACCAAGACCACCAGCATCTCAGCCCTCCGACCTAGGTAGGCAGATCTCTGCCTGCAAAGCTCTCAGCATGCATTCGGCGCCCCGTAAACACTGGTTTTTATGTGAGTTTGGTAGCGCTCTGCTGGGCAGTCAGGGAGTCTGGCTTCTCATCCCAGTTCTGCTGCTGTGTGACCTAGGACAGGTTCCTCAACCTCTCTGGGCCATAATCATGCCTCTTAGCTTCAGCCCAGAGTCACTCTGCTGAGGAAGCCGGGGACATTGTGGAGCCGACAGGCCTGTCCCCGGGGATGTCCTACGGTGAGGGGTGTGTGTTGATTTCCTGCTAAGATTAAAATAAAAACCTGCCGCTCACTTTCCCCGTGGCAATGCTGCAAAACGTTAACAAGCAAAGGAGACAAATAGAGTCAGTTGTTCCCAACACATGAGTGGCCAAAGGAGCTGGAGAGATACTTACTTCCCTGTGTGGTCACTCTCCAGGCAATCGGCTTCCCCAGAGGCACACAGAACGGGGCTTGGAGGAAAGGCCTGGAAGAGGGTCTGCCCCACAGCCCCTGGAGACCACCCGAGGACCCAGGACCCAGCCCCGGAGGATGCCAGCATCCAGTCACTGCCGAGCAAGGGTCATCATCACCCTTGGGGTCCATCAGGAAACCCAGGAAGGGACCTAAGGACAAGGGAGCATGTCTCATCCCCGCCACCAGGCGAGCTACGGGGGCCCTGCTCCTCTGAGGAGCCTGTGTAACGCCCTCTAGAGCAGTGCTGTCCAACAGAACTTTCTGTGAGGATGGAAAAGTTCTGTCGGGGCGCCTGGGTGGCTCAGTCTGCCTTCAGCTAAGGTCATGATCTCCGGGTCCTGGGATCGGGCCCCGTGTCGAGCTCCCTGCGCAGCGGGGGGCCTGCTTCTCCCTCTCCCTCTGCCCCTCCCCACCCCCCCCCCACTCACGCTCGCTCACTCGCTCTCTCAAATAAATAAAATCTTTTTTTTAAAGATTTATTTATTTATTTGAGAGAGTGAGAATGAGAGAGAGAGAGAGTACATGAGAGGGGGAGGGTTAGGGGGAGAAGCAGGCTCCCCGCTGAGCGGGGAGCCCGATGCGGGACTCGATCCTGGGACTCCAGGATCATGACCCGAGCCGAAGGCAGTCGCCCAACTAACTGAGCCACCCAGGCGCCCCTAAATAAAATCTTAAAAAACACAAAACAGGCCACGCTGTGTGACTCCAGGCAAGGTGCTGCCCTCTCTGAACTTCAACTTCACCATCCTAACATGCAGGAATGTAGCTAACGGACGCCAGACAGCTTCTAACACCCCGTTACTCTCTGTCCCAGAACTTCTCCCCCCAGGAAAAGGCTACAGGAAAATGACATTATAATTTCCTCATTTGGGATAAAACACTACAGGCTTAGGTACGTAAGCAATCGTGCCAAAGGAGTGATTTACGAGGCCTCATTCCTCTCTCCTGGCCCCGAGACACAGTTATAGCTCGTGCTTTAACTTCGGGGATTACAGCTTTCTCATGAGTCAGGTCCTTTCCTTGGAGACCTATGACCTTCCCAGGGATGGGACCTGAATGGCAAAAGGCGATGAAATGAGGATAAGGGGTGAGGGGACCAGGGGACCAGGGCCAGCGCTGAATTCCAGGGCTGGATTTTCACATCCTTGGCCTCGCTCAAGCCTCCCCCTGCCCGCCCCCCACGCAGGCAGATGGGGACAGTGAGTCCCAGGGGGCCGAAGACCCCTCCCTCCCTCCCCCCGCCCAAGGTGGCAGAGGTGGGACTCGAGCTCAGACATCTGCTGACAAAGGCCGGGACTTCCGCCCCTCCGGGGCAGACCGGGGCACTCACCATGGAATCTAACGCAGACACGAGGCTGGTGATGATCTCGTCTTTGCGGGTGAAGGCGGAGCTCCAACGGTCGGGCCCGCAGCTGTTGGTGGGAATGTCGCAGCGCTTCCCCAACAAGGCCATGGTCACCTGGATGGAGGGAGGCCGCGGAGGTGGGCGTGTGCCCCAGGGCGTGGTCCCCACAGCGGATGCCCACCCCAACCCCGCCAGGCCCCCAGACCCCCAGGGCCACCTCTACTTCCCAGGTGGGACGAACCAAGGGCTGGCCTCCCCTCTCCCCAAGGGGTTAGACGCATGAAGACATCAGAGCCCCCCCACAGGGCCTAGTTAGGGAGGAGGCCACACACAGCTCCGGGCAGGCACGGGCACACGCGGCGGGGTAACTGAGGAGTGCGCTCCATGGCATGTCCCCCAAATCTGCAACTCCAGGGCTGAGCCCAGTACCACAACCAGTCCGCCTGGCACCTCAACTGCCAACTTTCCCCTGCACGTAGCTCTGGCCATGGCTCTCCCTCGCTCACACACCCTCCATGGCTCCCTACTGCCCACGCTAGCTCTGGACTCCTGCCCCTCGTCCAACTCCCCCTCCACAACCCACACTCCGGGTGCTCTAAGAATCACCGTCCCCCAAACATACCCACGTCCTTCATGGCATCCCAACTGTCATAGGTTTCCCTGTCCCTGACCCAAGTGGCCTTCTGGCCCCTCTGTCATCTGCCGATGGCCCACTCAGCTTTCAATTGTCACCTCTGCTCGGAGGGTGCCCTCAACGGCTCCACCTCCTGCCCCTTCCCGCCCTGGCTGGACAAGGTGTCCTGGCTGGCCTCCCACATGTCCCCAGGCTCCTCTGTCACAGCTTTCTATCAAACTGCAATGGGCAAGGCCACTGTCCTGAGGCCCGCGAGCCCCAGTCTCAGAGGTTCAGAAAGACAGTGGAAGCCACTTCATCTCAGGACAGGGTTTCCCCAAGACAGGACTTTGCCCCATTGTCATGAGGCTCCTGGAGGACAGAGGTGCACCCTCCCCTTGTTGGGGTGCCCTCAGACCAGGGCCTAATGCCAGGGCTCCCCCAGGCAGGGGACAGGTCTGCTGCCCCTGCACCACCTGGCCCAGCCTGGGCACCCACTAGACACAAAGGTCAGCCTCCCCTGCGTCCGGTTCCGTCCTGTCCCTCCCCTACCAGAACCCGAGGAGGCAGGTCCGGGGTGCCACCCACAGGCTGCCCCAGTGCCCCTCCTCGAAGGCAGGGACCCTTGGTTTCCCTCTCTGGGCTCAGCTCCCCTAATGCTCTGTGCACAGGCCCCAGGCCAGGAGCCGGCAACCAGGTCAGGGGTGCGAGCAGGGAGCAGGGCTGCAGGCCTCAGAGTCTGTGGATCACCTGGCCTCCCTGCTTCCTGCAGATGGGGGGTGGGGGCACCAGGCAGGCCGACGACTGGGCCCAATGTCTTAAAGGGTGCCAAGCCCCGAGCGTCTTCTGCCACCGCAGCTGCCCCCTGACCATAAGCTCTGTGAGGGCAGGGACCGGCTTGCCAGTCACTGCTGCACCCCCAGGGCCCAGCTCAGGGCCCGCCGTGTGCGACGGGCCAAGGTGGGGCGTGGTCCACACCACAGACTGGAGGCCTTTCGTGAGTCATGGAACCAGCGATACCAAACGAGTGTCAGTGCATTACACGTAACAAGGTGAGAAGTGTCCCAACTGCAGTTGTGGAAACATACGAAGGAATTAGGAAAGCACTCGAGCCTGGCTCCTGCCTCAGGTCTGGCCCGAGTCTGCTATTTGGCTGTGAATAAATATTGATTTTAACAACTGGCCAGTCAGCAGTTGGCCAACATGTGAATTGGGTTCACTTCGAAATGTTTACAAGACGTAGTTCTTCAACCAGGTTGCAATTTTACAAATGTTTTAAGTCCACAGTATTAAGGGACGTGGAGGGTGTGACAGGCCATGGACATCCTCATGGGGTCACAGGCAGCCAGTGGCCAAAGCCTGGGGCCTTGTGCGGCACAAAGCCCACTGGAGGGTCCGCCGTGTGACCAGCTGAGAGGTTTGCCTGCCTGGGGCGCTTGAAGGTTTTTCCCCTCCCTTCGGCCAACCCCTCGAGCCATTCCCAGAAAGACCTCAGCCTGCCAGCCTCCCGGCCCAAATTGAATCAGGGCAAAGCAGGAGGCACCAGACAGCCCTGGCCTCCAGGTCGCCCCAGACAGCTGGTGGCTCCTTCCTGCAAAGTCCTAATCCATTTAGGAAGGAACCAGGGACTCAGGGAGGGAAGGACGGAGGGAGGGTGGGAGGGAGGAAAGGGGGGCTCGGCTTGGGCTAGCCCCCAGCTCCTTGTCCAGGGGAAGGTGGGTGCACTTCGGGAGGCAGAAGACCCTCCTGCAAAGGCCTGAGGCCTCTGGGAGGGGGCAGGCTCCATGCAGCTGGAGCCGCTGTGCATGGGCTAGAGGCGCAAAAGCCCTGGGCCTGGGAAGAAAACCACCCAATAAAACCTACAAACTACGCAGAATAGAGAACAGGAAGATGAGAGCAGTAAACCAGGAGGCACTGAGTGGCCAGCATAAACAGGAGAGCGTCCTGGGGGTCGGGGGGTCGGGGGGAGGGCGGTGAGGACGGGAGCCACGGCGGAGCCCTCGCGCACACAGCACAGAGGCTAGGGCTGGGCAAGGCTGGAGGCACCCAAGTGCTGCTCTGAGGCACCGAGGGGAGGACATGAGAAGCGTCATGTCAGGGAACAGGCAGCTGGCTCCTGAAGCAGGGGAGAGGTGGGGAGCGACTGTCAGCCACCCTCGGGTTCCTGGGTGGACAAGGCCTGCAAGGGCCGGGAGGCGAGCAGGGATGCCGTGAGCAAGCATCCTCTCTCCCCCCCGATAGACATTTCTCCCGAGGCCGCCAGGGGGCCACCCATCTGGTTTACCTCCCACCTCCCGGCCATTTTCCCTGCTGGCTATAACCAAAACCCAACCGCCGGCACAGACCGCTAACCCGACCGCGGGCACCGACCGCTAACCCGACCACTGACACTGACCACCGCTGATACTGACCGCTAACCCGACCTCGGGCACTGACCGCTAGCCTAACCGCTGACACTGACCGCTGATACTGACCGCTAACCCGACCTCCGGCACTGACCGCTAACCCAACCGCCGGCAGACTGCGGCTTGGTCCTGGCCCCTCCTCTTCCCCGTCCAATTCTGTCCATCTCTGCCAGGCAACTTTTGGCTTAATGTCACCTAGAGGCTGGTGACTCTCGGTTTCTCTCCCTCCCCTCTCCTTGAACGCCACCTCCTCCTCTTCAATGTCTAAGAGGCAACTCGCCGGGAGCAGGCCCCAGGTTTCCCGCTCAGACCTGCTCCTCCCCGGCCAGCCACTCGGGTGCTCGGGCTCACACCGAGGCCTCATCCCCGGCTCCCTTGTCCCTTGCTTCCAAAACGATGCAGGGAGAATGCCGTCCATGTGGCTCCGGAAAGCACCCAGATCTGTCCGCCTCTCATCACCGCCAGGGCCCCCTCCCCACCCAGGCCACCATCCTTGCTTGCCCACGCCATGGCCAGGCCTCCTCGCTGGCCTCCCTGCCCTTCTCTCGTCGCCACGGTCCCTCCTGCCAAGAGCAGCCATGTCAGTCTCACGCCACTGTTCTGCTTGGAAGAGTCAAAGTAACAGCTCCGAGCGTAGGTGCTGTGTGAGCCAGGCCCACCTGCCATCGGCCCTCTCCGCTCCGCGCTGGGCTCTGGCTCCGTCCTCCTTTTGTCCCTCACATGCCACCTGCACTCCCCTCTCCGGGCCTCATGCCTGCAGTTCCCCCCGTGCAGCGGGCTCTTCCAGGCCTGCCCCTCGCTCCATCAGCCCCGACCCCCAGCTCCTCGGCGCCCCGTCCCTGACCGCACAGCAGCCCCACCCTCACACCGGCTCCCCGTCTCTTCTTTTCCGCACAGAATCTGCTGCCATCTGAAGGGACTTGCTCATGTGCTTCTCGCCCGACTTCCCCAGCAGGAATGGGAGCCCTGGGGGGCTGGGGTCGCGCCTGCCAGGTTCACCGGATGCCCGCTGCCTCGACACCTGCTTGGGTTTTCACGGGCACGCAACAAATATTCGCGGAACCAGCCAGTGTGACGGGCGGCAGGAACCGGGACGGTCACAAGCTATATGCAGAGTGACAAGTTCGGGCTTGGAAGGCTCTCAAAAAATAAAAAAAAATTAAAAAATAAACAAAGGCAATGTGTGACACGGCAAGTCTGGATGCGTTCGGATCGCAGAGGAACGGTCCAGGAACTGAAAGTGACAGAAGCTGCTGGGTCAGCCAAGCGTCCTGGACAGGTGCTCCTCTCGTGGCCCAGGACCCCAGCAACAGCGCCCGTGGACACCGGTCTGGGGTGGGGCACCGGCGTGTGTCACCCTCTTTGTTTACGTGATCCTCCATCGCAGAGGCAAGGACCCCCAGCCAGGGGGTACTGAGGATAAGGTCGGTATGTCTGTCTGTCTGTTCTCAGGCCTGCTCCTGTCCTTCAAGAAGTGGTGGGAGAACTGTACTCCTCACACTCACCAGGATGGGGGGCGCGGGGAGGACAGAAACATCAGCTGATTGAAGCCATGGCTGATGCACGGCTAGGGTGATCAGCTTGCCCCGGTTCGCTCCAAACCTCTCTGAGTTTAGCACAGAAAGTCCCCTGTCCTGGGAGACCCCTCAATCCCAGGCAAACTGAGACCGCTGGTCACCCCACGACACAGGGACCAAGAGGCCTATATGCCCCTCCCAGATGCTGAGAACAAGACAGACAGACAGGAAGGCGAAGTGATAGACACTAGGGCCTGTCCTCAGGTCCAAAAAATCAATTTTGGGACTCCTGGGTGGCTCAGTCAGGTAAGCATCAGTGACTTCAGCTCAGGTCACGATCTCGGGGTCCTGGCATCGAGCCCCGCGTCTGGTTCCCTGCTCAGCGGGGGGTCTGCTTCTCCTTCTCCCTCTGCCTGCCTCTCTGCCTACTTGTGATCTCTCTGTCAAATAAATAAAATCTTTTAAAAAAATCAATTTTACCTAATCAGGTGAGAGATGGGCTGGGCGGCTCCCAGGGGAGGGGACAGGCCCTCCTTCTCCAGGGAGATCTCAAGGAGCTGGCGGAAAGCCACT